GGCGTCGGTAGATTCACGTACATGTGAATCTCGATGTGAAGATAAAACTTATATCGATATAAATATATACACAAGTATCGAGAAATCTGAAAATGTTAAATCGTTTTCAGAAGCTTCGTATTCGTGAGCTTCTTCCAGCGTACTAGTAGCTAGTAGAGGGGTTACTAAATAATATTGGGGTGTTTTTAAATATAGTTTTCATCTAGACGCGAGAAAAAAACATATTTTTAGCCCAGACTCAGAAAAAATGGCATAGTTTTTGTCCGGACTAGACTAAAGGGCATAGTCTTCACCCGGACTCGAAAAAAACGGGCAGAGTCTTCGTCGGGGACCAAAAAAGGGCATAGTTCTTGTCTGGACTAGAAAAAAGGGCATAGTCTTCGCCCAGGACGTCGAAAGGGCATAGTTTTTGTCCAGGGCCAATTAGGGCATAGTCTTCGGCCGGGGCGTCAACGTATTTCGGTTACACTGTTAATTAAATATTTCCTTTTTCTAAGGCAAAATTTGTCACATCAAGTACAAATGTCAACAACACGGCAAAGGATAATTTAACAATAATATTAAAAATACTTCTTAGCAAAGATGTGCTATTGAAGTATACGACACAAGTTTCTACTGGAAATAAACCAGTTATGTCAGCTACTTCATTCGTTATGTGTATAAATGGTAATTGTATAAAAGTAGAAAATTTTTTTCATAATTTATAACTTAAAGGCATAAAATTAAATATATTTTCAGACACCATGTTGAATAGTTACGCTCAACTGGACAATGGTCAAATCGAATGATTAAAAATCATTAAACAAGCCATTGGAGCAATTATTAATAATTGCTCTGACTGGGACAGTGGAAGAACGCAGCGGACAATTAAGAAGTATACATTAGACACCAATGGATCTCTAGATAAAAAGGCACAGCAGCGTAATATTTATAAAGTTTTGTTGTGTTCTGTAATTATAAACTAGTAAAAAACTATATTCTTGTACTTAACTTTTTTTTCATGCAGTTATTTGTATGTAACTCTCAACGTGCCTCGTTGATATAATGCATATATTTTGTCAACATCAATGCTAAAAGCATTGAACAGTATTATGATAATAAAATGATGTACATTTTCCTGGTAGCACAAACACGCATAAGTAAATTGCATAAGACGATGATCGGTCTGCTTCCGCAGATGAACATCAATCTGCTGCAAGATGCTTGAACAAGAAGTGCACAAGAATTGCATAAAGTAACTAGCATTAATTTTTTCACTTTAACGCACTCAGAAGTGCATCAGACGTGCACAAGAAGTGCACACAGACGCATGTGCACTACACTTGCGCAAGAAGTGCGTCAGACTTACATAAAGTTGCTTGCATTAATTTTTTCATTTTAGTGCACTCGCAAGTGCAACAGACGTGAACAAAAAGTGCACAAAGGCACGTTGGCACAACGCTTGTGCAAGAAGTGCGACAGACGTGTGTTGAGTTACTTGCATTAATGTATTGTACTTTAATGTACTTGCAAGTACATCAAACGTGCACAAATAGTGCACAGAAGTGCATGTGCATGATGCTTGCACAAGAAGTGCACAAGACGTGCATAAAGTTACTTACAATAATTTTTTTACTTTAACGCACTCACAAGTACATCAAACGTGCACAAGAAGTGCAAAGGGGCGCGTACGCACGACACTTATGCAAGAAGTGCGTCAGACTAGCAAAAAGTTACTTGCATTAATTTTTCCAGTTTGGTGCACTTACAAGTCAAATCTGCTGTTCAAACGAAATATTTCTACTTTCTTTTAAACGAACAGAACTTTTTGTATACAGGAGAATAATATTTTACTTATATCTGCGATAATTATGGCTTTGCGTACCAAATACAAGAACTATTTTGTAGGCTGAAGATAAACTTTTTAAAGAACAGATTTCCAAAACTCTATGAAACCCAAAAAATTAAAAATTAAAATTTGTAAGTCCTGTAAATGATCATTTCTATAACCAAATATTTTACTTAGCATAGTCAAAATACAAAAGAACCTTTGATTTGTTAAAATTTACGAATACAATTCCAAGATTTAATTCATTACATGCATACTCGGTTAAGGTTATTTGCCAAAAAATACTAACCATTTATTTTAAGAAAATTTTAAAGCCTAGTTGAAGTTTGTATATTTTTGAAGTATAGAAAAAAAATTTACTGGCAAATAAAATGTTTTACTGGATAAGAATTGGAAAATGAATTTTCAAAATACTAGACACGTCCATAAAATATTATCAATATTTTTTTGCAATCAATTATCTTTCGCACATAACGAATGGCAACTTATAGAGTGCGACTTACTCAATATATGTCTTACACAATTCTTGCACGCGTGCCCCTTAGCACTTTTTGTGGACGTTTGATGCACTTGCGAGTGCGGTAAAGTACTATACATTAGTGCAAGTAACTGAACACACGTCCGACAAACTTCTTGCGCAAGCGCCGTAAGCACGCGCCTCTGTGCACTTATTTTGCACGTCTGATGCAGTTGCAAGTGCACTAAAATGAAAAAATTAATGCAAGCAACTTTATGCAAGTCTGACGCACTTCTTGCGCAAGTGTCAACTTTATGCACGTCTTGTGCACTTCTTGTGCAAGCATCATGCACATGCACCTCTGTGCACTATTTGTGCACGTTTGATGCACTTGCAAGTACATTAAAGTACAATACATTAATGCAAGTAACTTAACACACGTCTGTCGCACTTCTTGCACAAGCGTTGTGCCAACGTGCCTTTGTGCACTTTTTGTTCACGTCTGTTGCACTTGCGAGTACACTTAAATAAAAAAATTAATGCAAGCAACTTTATGTAAGTCTGACGCACTTCTTGCGCAAGTGTAGTGCACATACGTCTGTGTGCACTTCTTGTGCACGTCTGATGCACTTGCGAGTGTATTCAAACAACGCTTATTTCCTTACACTACATAATATGCAGTAGAAACTACTACACAGAGTCAGCCAACGTAACTCCGATTCTCTTACTACACTTATGTAGTAGAATTAACCGAACATTTACGTAGCCTAACGATAGTTAATGTCAATTTATGCAAGTAACTTAATGCAAATCTTACGCACTTCTTGGGCCAGGGGTTTACACATGTACCTAGCAGCAGATTCATGTACTTCTGCGGAAGCAGACCAAGCATCGTCTTATGCAATTTATTAACTAAACGAAACTTTGCGTAAGAATTGCATAAGAAATGCATTAACTGTGCTACCAGGGTTAGAAAATTTAGTGACTAACTTTTTTTTAAATCGAATTTAATAATCTTTTATAATTCAAGCGATACTTATTCATAATATTTTTTTCACACAATGCGTTAAATTCGTAAAATTTTTAAGTTATTATAGTTTGATACTTATAGAATACATATAATAATTAAAATTTACTTATTTAAATACATAGAGTCAGCTGTATATTAAATACAAATTTGATGAAATCAATTAATACATCATGAATCCTTACGTAACTGCATTGGACGCTCAGGAAATTTCATGAAATTAACTTATCATAGTGAATTTATTTCATTAAATGAAGCGTGTTATACAAATTATCAAATTGTCTTGAAATGTTGTATGTCGGTGTTTATTAAATATCAAGAAAATTTTTACAGTTTTAATCGTACATCTCGTTACCTGAAATTAATATAATACAATATGTAAAATTTCATAAGAAGTTATTAATTTTCAATGCAGTTGCATAAGCTTTATGAAATGTTTATTAATTTTTATGGATTTCATATTGAAAGTAGTTTCATATCACAATTAATTTTTTTCAATGAATATGTGTTCTTTAAATTTCAAAAAAATTTTTACAGTTTCAATGTTACGTCACGTTAATTAAAGTTAATGTAATACAATAAGTAAAATTACATAAGACGTCAGTAATTTTCAATGTAGTTGCATAAAAGTTATGAATTAATTATT